CCACCGGGGCGGCCTCCCCACCACAGTCTGTCCCTACAACAACAACAAAACCCCCCTGTGATGCATCATGGCGGGTCCCAGGATGAAAGAGGTGGGGAGGGACAGCCCAGGTTAATTTTTAGCCTAGTACCAGCCCAGCCCAAGGAGGAAGGTGCTGAGGAAAGCCTGGGATTTTCCTAAGGCAGGAGCCTTAGAAAAAGAAAAAAACTTAGAAAAGGGTCAGATGCAGAAGAAAACCTGGAATAGGAGAATGTAGCAGAATACAGGCATGCCCTTATAAATTGTTGGGGGGGGGGGGGCTTAAGATGTTCCCCACCCTACACCTGAGGCAGCAGAAGAGCTCAGCCAAGCACTCCCAGCTCCACTTCAATACAAAGCCTGATATCAACCTATCTGGACCCTAACCTAGCTTCCCCCCCCAGGGGCACTAATGAGCCTCACCTGGAGCCTCTCCCCACTCCACCCATCGGCCCAGAAGCTCTATTTAAGCTCAGCCCTGCATCCTTAGCCCTTTCCCAGCTATGCTGCATAGAGGACTAGTGTCCAGCCTAGGGCTGTTGGGGTCTTCCCTGATCTCAGTCTGCAGACAGCATTCCTAGTGCAGCCATAGCCTTGCCTGGTCACCATGGACCTACCTGGTGCTGTCTAGACCTGATTCTGACCAGACCTGCTTCATCCCTACAAACTTTCCTGGTGACCTGGACTTTGTTGGACCTGGCTGCCACCTCCAGGACTGTCCTGCTTGCCTTGCTCAGGTAGGGCGGGATGGGTTCAGCTAGCTGAGCTTCAAACCCCAGACGTGTGCAACCCACTGGAGCTGAGGGCAGGCTCTGCTTGATGGACAGCTGCCATTCTCCATTATACCTTCCTCTGTGCTCCTGGCTTCCCTGAAGGATGAGTTCAGCAAGGGGCTGCGCACCAGAGCTCTTCTTTGAGTTTTAATGTACTGGAGTATTTCATATAACACATCACCTGCAGGGAAGGAAAGTCTGCTCAGATGATTTTATATTACAAGTCCCTCTTGGCTGATGCTGTTGCTTAGATTTCTTTGCTACAGAGCAAGAGGTTATGCCCCATGCCAAAGCATTTGCAGTCCAGATGGACTAAAGGAAGGAAGAGGGTTGACCTTGTCTCCAGCACCCAACTGGCCAGAGCTAAAGCCTGGTCTGCTGGGACCCATCCAGCCCCTCGCAGCAGACCACAGCTTGTGCTGTACTTGGATGGTCCTCAGAAACACCCTTGCCCTTGGTCTAACCTGAGCTCGGAGCTCGGTATCTGAAGTCATCCTTGGTGAGGATGCACAGGGCTTTGCCGTTCATTTCAAACTTGCTTTCGTCAGTTTGCCGAAGGGAATACTCTTTCTCAGTCCATCTTAGCCAGTGGATCACGTCATCCTTGCTCCACAGTGAGGGCTGGATTCCTGAAACCAGGGTCAGCCTCTGAAACAACTCAATCTCCACTTTCAAAACTGCTAAGGGGCAGGGTGGGATACTAGTCTGCTCCGTCACCAAACTTTCCCTCTATATTGAGCACTCACAGGTCAAAAATGCCCCAGAGAGAAAACAAACCCTGATGACTGGTCCATCTTGTCCCCCTTGGCAGCAGGCAATGGTCCCTGGGTGGGACACCACAGCTGTACCCACCACATCCCACCCTGTGGGAACTTTTTTAAGCAGCATTGACTTGCTCAACATCTACTCACTCAGCCTGCCTGGAAGCTTGAAGATCTCCCCCTCGCTGATGGGTATGTGTCTGGCCTGGGATGGGGTTGGTAACGAAGCTGTGACAACAGGGCTGGAAGAGCTGGTTGCCACTTTACCCTGGGGAAAAGAGATCAAACACATCAGTGGGGGAAAATTCCCAGCTCTGGTCCTGCCTTTGCTTTGGAGATGCCTCCAACGCAGTAAACACTGCTCAAATATTTTCTAACTCGTTTCTTGCAGCAGCATGATGTGCTGTCTGCAGCTCTTGCACGCTGGATCTAGGTCTTTTATCAGCCCCAGAATGAACCTCTGGTTGCCCAGGATAGCGTTAGTAGCCAGAGATCCCCCTCTCTTTCTCCAGCTCTTTTCTTTAGCAGAGGTACCCACCCTCATCCAGGCTCTGGATGTGGGTTATCCATTCGCACTGCCCCATGGCAGCAGGGAAGTAGAAGATGCAGCCAAGGCTGGCAGAGCCTGCAGTGCCCATGGTGGCTCCCGCTTCCTGGGGGATCCTCAGATGCTCATTGGATGCCCCAGCTTTTAGGACAGTACTTCAGTTCCTTAGGGTCATGAAAACAGAGCTGGCAATAGTGCTTACATTTTGCCTTAAAAACACAGTATGAAGAGATTTCTAACTTTTCCCCCAGTGATCATTTGGGCATAAGTGGAAAAAGCCATCCCATGGTTGAGAGGGATGTCCTCTCATCTTGCTCTCTTGCCATTAAGTCCCAGCCTCTCGGCAATTACCCCTCCTTCTCGGTTGCTCATCAAGGAGCCCCTCCAGCCTCACCAAGCAGGTGGGATGATCAGTGATGGGAGGAGAGGCAGTCCCAGCACCTCTGCTGGGCTGAGGGCCAGCATCGGCCCCGTTCTCCCTCCAGGCTCTCATCCACGTGAGCCAGAAGGGAGCTCGGCTCCTGCTTTCAGCCCCATCTAGATCTTGAAATATTACTGGCAGCCAAGCAGATAATGTTTCCCCTTAAAAATCTATTCATGTGAATCCCAGCAATTTCTCAGCTTCATTCTCTGGAAAATTAACAATTTTGCTTGCAAATAGTATTTTCTGAAGCGGTTGCCAACTCTGAGCGCTTCAATACACCCTCAGGCAGATTTTTAGAGGTGGTTAAAGCAGCCAGCGCTCCTCGACCGTGTGTGCAAATAGATGAGCTGAGCTCCCCGTGAAAACCAGGGGTAAAGAAAATCACAGTGTATGCTGAGAGCAGATGGTGGTTGGACACCTCTTAAATGCAAAACTGGTGGCCCCAAAGCCAGGAACTTGGGAGACAGGAGCAAAGGGCTCCATCCCTCTTGGGGAAAATGCTTCCCTGTGATCCTGGGGGGGTTACAGCAGGAGAAAAGCAGCAGTTTGGTGGTGGGAAAGGGGTTTTCTTCACCAGAAGGATGTGTTAGCAATTTGTCTGGTAGTGGTGGAATCGCCGTTGGCTGACTCGGGGTTGATGGGTTTGGCAAAGCAAGTGGCTGCGTAATATTGTATGAGGAAACCAGAGAAACACCAGTATAAACTCTGAACAGGCTTGATAGCAGCGCAAACTGTGTTTCGGATTCATTCTAAGCAATAAGCTATGGGAAAAATAAAAGTGAAAGAAATCGGCAATGTATTTTGTCTAGAACTCCTCTAAAAAGTTATTTTAGTTTTCTCCCATCAGTGTGACTCTTACAACAAGATTTACAGTAAAAACAGACTAAATGTGTGATATTTTTCTTGCTCTTAAAGATTTCTAGGGCATAAGAGACGCATTCTTGATTTTTATTACTTTGTACTGATTTTATGTGCTTTTTTTTCCCTTTTTTTTTTTTTTTTCCCCCTGCGTAGCTGCTTTCACACGTTTCTGAGATGACATTTCCTTGCTTCAAGAGGAAATATTGTCCTTGGAGGGGTTCGAGTGGGAAAGCGAGAAAACAGGGGGGTGAAAACGAAACCCCAGACGTGCGAGAGCAGCTTGCGGCTCAGTCCCAAATCGAGGGGACAGAGCCCCCCGGCTGCTCCGGGCTCCGTGAGGCCGTTCGGAGGTGGTTGAGAGGGTCGTCGTCC